AATGAAGAAGGTTAAGTATGAGGACTTCTAATAATCAGTGATGGAAACTACAAATGCCTTTCTTATGAAAAGCGTTATGGTACACTTTGGACATTCGGCTTGGATGCATGTGGCTTGTTGCTTCATCTCTAACCAGTAATACCCTTTTCTTTGTAGTCGGTGATAGAGACTTATTACTTGGTCGACTCTACATGTGGCTTCATAGATTTCGTGTAATCGCATTTGTGCTTCATCCGGATGGGTGCTTGTAGAGTGTCACAACAACATTGATGTAATCCTTAGGGTATTTGATACTGAGCTCTCCGCTTGGCTTGGAAAATTCCCTTTTGACAACTTTCCTCCAATCGTCATCCTTTGACGTTTCCTCCAGAAAGACTGCATCAATGGCTTGGGCCTTCCTTCTGATCACAACAATGTTGAGTTGTTCATCGATGAAGGTAAGCTTAGAGCCAAGTGTGGCTAGGGCATCCGTATATTTGTTGGTTGTGTCGGGAATATGTTCCAACAACACTTGGTTGAAGCTTGCCATGAGTTTCTCGGCTATAATACGGTATGGTGCCAAGGTTATTTCCTTCATTGTGAAGCTTCCCTAGACCTCGCTAAGGACCAAATTCGAGTCCTCTATGACTCGTATCTTACCTGCGCCCATTTCCCTATCTATGGAAAGGCTCATGATGAAAGCTTCATACTCGGCTACGTTATTTGTGCATGGAAATATTAGCTTGAAGGATAGGGCAGTAGCTTGGCCTTCTAGATTGATAAGTACAATGCCAGCTCATCCTGTGGCTATGGAAAAACCATCTAAATGCATGACCTATGACTCTTCTTCCATAGCGGTGGTAGCTATCTCTGGCAGCACACCAAGGACTTCCTTGGAAATAATGGCCTCTCATTCTTTGGGAAACAATGCTAGCATGTATGTCACATCTTGGCCTTTGATAGCCTTAAACGTCATATATATGATATCGAATTCAGAAAGTTTGAGCAACTGATAGGAGCATATTTAGGCGACTTACTTAGCTTGTTCTCATGCATTTACGTTGTGTTTCTTTAGTTATTTTAGTCCTTTATGCCATTTTCGTGTGTTTCTAGGTTCATATGGCTAAGGAAGCAAAAAGGTGCATTTTGGAGCACTTTGGAGCAAAATTGGGCTTGGAATGGATAACATATGCTTGGAGCAAAAGGAATGGACGAAATTGAAGAGTTGATGTCACAAGGATTCCTACTTGAAGTAGCCACACACCTTCCACCATTTCAGCCGCACCTTTGTCCTAACACTAGAGCATTAATCATTCACTTTTCATTATATAATTCATGCACCATCATGCATATATTCCTCCCCCCCTAGCTGTCACTACCATTTCATACACATTCCAGCACCATTAATTTCTTTGTCGTGCACATTCACCACCAATTCAGCCACATGCACTTATTCCTCCATCATTGCACCACAATCCCAACCATGCCGTGCATAACCATTCATTTCCAGCTTTCCCCCCTTTCAATTCCAGCTTTCCCCCTTCATTATTGCAGCCACCATTCACTCTTTAATCATTCACTCACATGCACCCATCACCTAGAACATCCCTTTGCCGTGCACTCCCATTCAACATTTCCAGCTTTACTTCATCATTGCAGCCACATTCTTCCATTCCCACTTCAATCATTCACCCTAGTTGGCAGCCACATGCTTTCCCAACAAATAAATCAGCCATATGCACACCAAACACACCTTTGCCGTGCACTCCCATGCCATTTCCAGCATTCCCCTTTGCATTTTCAGCTTTCCACCAACCAACCTAGTTGTCATTCCACATGCATTCTCTCTTTAATCATTCCCTCCTAGCTGCCATTCACATGCTCTCCCATCCATTCTCTCCCTATAAAACCATGCAATGCATTCATACACACAATTCCAATTCACCACAAAACAATCACAAACACAACCTTTGTGCCGTGCATCCCCTTCCATTTTCTGCAGTTTTTCTCCTCCATTGCAGCCACTCCAACCACTCCCCATCCCTCCAAAACACTTCACACCACCCCAAAACCTATCCTTAGACCTTGTGCCGCAACAAAGAGGAAGAGAAGAGGGCCTAAACGTTCATACAATTCAAGTTTGAGTTGTTGGAATGTTTAGGTGTTTCTTTGATTTCAATGTTTAATTTCAATTCTCTTTGTCTTGTACGTATGAGGAACTAAACCCCCTTTAGCTAGGGGGTGATTCGAAACCATGTTTATGCTTGCAATATGAATTGATTACCTTTGGTTGGAATTTCATAAGTTGTGGATTCAAGTTGTTTAACTGTTTGATTGATAACTTATTTATGTATGTTTATTGAGAGTGCACGCTTAATTTTCATGCATGAATATGACGCTAGAATATAAGTGAGTTTCACCTAATAGTTATGAACTTATATTCACAAGTAGTGGAGGTTGCTTATAAACAATCGCGTTAAATGAATTCTTGGCACTAGTTTCATGCTCATCATAGTAACGAAGGCCTCGTCAACACTTATAGTTTTCATGATGCTTAATGATCTTTGATTGTATCTTTATTGTGCTTTTCACGTAAAGAACTTTTGGAGAATGTTGTGAATTGCGTTGCGCAAACCCATCCAATTCATTAACTTAAGGAGAACTTGACGGTTAATTTAAGCGGACCTAATTAACCCGGGGTGTTGAGTTTCATAATTTATCGAAAGACCAACTGAGAATCATCTTGTATGCAAGTGTAACATGTGTGGAGAAGAACCCCTTAGTTATTCCATCATCCATATTTTCATCACATTCATATTTACATTCTGCCTTAATTACAATTTGTGCATTTTAGTTAATTTCATCAAAAACTCAATCCCCCCCCCCCCCCCCCCCCCCCCCCCCCGTATTTTGTTAAGTCTTAGTCATTCAAATCTGTTTTATTTTGTGTTCTTAAGCATTTGGAGTCATAAACACTTTTAAATTCGTCCAAATTAAGTTCTAGTTTCTGTTTGAGTCAATTTGATTGTTTTAGGCAGTTTTGAGTGTTTTAAAGCTATTCTGAGTCATAGTAGTCTTGTTAAGAGTCTTTAAGTTTAGTTTTTGTGTTTTTGAGTCAATTCAAAGTAGATTAGCACCCCTAGTTAATCCCCGGTTAGAACGATCCCTACTTACATCATTACTACAATTGTCACAAATAGGGTTTAATTTGTGTGTCACATTCGTTTCGCATCAGCAACCAACAAGCCAAACGACAAGATAATATAGGTCTAGTGAACAAGTACCTTACGAAGTCAGACTTTGCCATAAGGTGCAGCTTGTGGGCTAGGAAATAGTGGTGCAATCGCTGTGATGCATAGACGAGAGCTAGGCAAATGAGTTCTGTCTTCTCATAGCGAGTTTCGGCGCTTATTAGTTGTCTGCTGACATAGTAGATTAATGCTTCTTCCCCGACTGAACTGTCCTGGGCAAGCAGAGCTCTTACAATAGTGCTTGTTGTGGCTAAGTAGAGTTTGAGCGGAATGCCTGAAACTAGTGCCTTCATGGTAGGAAGGTTGGTGACTAGCTACTGGACTCGTTAATAGGCTTATGTGCATTCCTCGTTCCACATGAATTCTTTCCCTTTCATAAGCAGTATGGCGAAGGCTCTTGTTGTTGCTGCTAATCCTGGATGAAGTGCCGAATGTAGGACAGTTTCCTCATTAAACTTTTCAACTTATTTGTGTTTGTCGGTGGCATGAAGGTTTATATGGTGCGCGCCTTGTTGAGATCTACATTGATGCTGCTCTGATGTACTAGGAAGCCCAGGAACTTGCCCGGAAACACTGAAGGTGCATATCTTGGGGTTCATCTTTAACCTATATGCTCGGTATCTCCTAAGCACTTTCCTTAGCACTTCCCAATGCCCTTCCTTAGTTTTGGATTTCACAATGAGGTCATCCACATAGTTTTCCATTTCCTTCCTCATCATGTCATAAAAAAATTGCTATCATTACTCGCTGATTAATGGCACCGACGTTTTTTAGTCCAAATGGCATAGTTGTATAGTAAAAGTTTCCAAATAGCGTGTGGAAAACCGTCTTCTCATCATCTTTGGCAGACATCCTTGATTTAGTTGTATCCACTGAAGCCGTCCTTGAATGACATAAATCCTTGCCTTGAGGTTGAATCGATCATGAGGTTTATGTTGGGCAATGGAAACTCGTCATTTGGGCATGCTGCATTGAGATCTTGGTAATTGATGCATATCCAGATTTGGACAGTGTTATTCCTCTTTACTGGGACAATGTTTGCTAGCCAAAAAGGGTGCTTGATAGGCTTGATAAATCTGGCCGCCAGGAGTTTTTCTACCTCGACTTTGATTTTAGCCTCTATTTTCTGGTGGAAATTCCTTATTTGTTGTACTACAGGCTTGATCCCAGGATGTGTGTTCAGCATGTGGCACATCGAATTCGGATCAAGGCCTGACATCTCTTCATAGCTCCAAAGCAATGACATCCTTAAACTCCTTTTACAAGCTAACTAGTTCTTTCTTTTCCTCAACAGTTAAGGAAACACTAGGTTTATCTCTTCAAGCTTTTCCACCACTGTAGTGGATCCATCCTGTATGCATTTTGGCGCATGCATGATTTTTTGGTGGGATTCGTCATTTACAGCAGGTGCAAACATGTCTTTGGTTTCCTTAAGGGCGCCATTTACTTGGCGTGCAGTGCCTTCATACTCGGGGGTTTCCCACACAATGTGGCCATGCCCCCAACCCGTTATAACCAGTAAACGATACGGCCGTCGGGAAGCACGACCTTGGAGCATTAAGGTAAAGTGTAGGCAAGGATATTAGCCTTTGGCTGTATGCGTTTTCCTCTTTCCACTGTGGCTATGAGTTCTCGGTCACTGAGATCTCGAACTTCTTCCCAATAGGGTAAAGGTACCCCTAAGACCTGTGATATCCTACTTCCGACACTTGAGAAATCATTATAGAACTTGGCATCAGAATAGTGAACTTCGTCTAGGTTGAATGGCATCTAGTTTCCTGGGATGTGAATAGGCCCCAGACCAATCATTCCCTTAACGCACTGGTGGTAGGTGGAGGCCTCGAGTCTGTGCTTGTTTATCCATGGCTTTCCGAGCAGAGCGTGGTAAGTCACGTTGATGTCCATCACATAAAACTTAGTAAACGATCTGATAGGGCCAATCTTCAAGTCGATCTCAATGGATCTAATAGTTTTCTTACTACTGTTCCCAAACCCATTAATAGAGATTTGAGACCCTACCACTTTTGACGTTGGGACGCCTGCTGCAGTGAGCACTACCAATGGCAAAATGTTGACGGATGACCCAATTTCAACCAAAGCTCGCCTGATGTAGATGTCATTAATCTGCCCTTCCAAGTACACTGGCCTTCGATGGTCAGGGATAACCACTTCCATATCTTCGTCAGTGAAGATAATGGTGTTGTTGTTCTCAAGGAAAACCTTATGCTGCTAGGCAGTAGAACATTGAGGGTCATAGTCCTCGGAAACATGCATGAGAGCTTCAGCAGCAGCAATCCTTGCTTCCGGGCCATATTCGAGCTGGTAGAAGAGAGATTTGAACTTCGGGTTTTCCTAAAAGACCTACGTTGCAGTGGGCCCTTGCCTTTAGGAAAGGTAATGCTCAATTGCGTCGGCTTACATGTTGGGAAAGCTGTACAAAGTCACAGCCGTCGTTTCTTGGTTGAACAGTTTCTCTTCCGAGGTTTCCTCATTGTATTCTTCAAGCATATTGATGGTGAAGGTCTCGTCACTTAGGCTTGGGGTAAAATCCATGAGATTCACATCCTCATCTCCCCATCCCTCAGCTTGAGGCCATGGAGTATTATAGCTCTGCGGTTTAGAGTATTTGCATTAGTAAGCCTTTTCCATGTGCCCGAAAGGTTCCTAAATGGCTTCCGATTGCTTGGTGTAGTTGTTCCACAGATGGTAGTCATCGTCATCTCCAGAGCATGTAATGGCAGCTGCTACCTCATTCCCTTAATGTTCCGGTAGAGGGTCAATGTCTATGGCTTGTGTCTTACATGACAGCTCTAGTATCCCTTTGAGGTTTTTGCATGAAGAATTTTTCGCAAAGTTTGACATACAATAGAGGGATGTCCTACATACTAAACTTGTCTACCAACTTTTACCAGGTCCTGATGAAACCTGGTGTAAGGGTGATGTACCAAGTATAGGCATGATTAGTTAGGCTTTTTTAGAACTCCTTGAGACGGCGGTTGCTGTCGTCGACATGAGGACCTAAAGCATTTATGAAACGGATTATATGTTCCTTATGGCTACCTTTCCTCCCGTTAAAGAAAACAAGGTTGAGAGTCTAGTATCCCTTAAGATACGGCATATGGAGAATGCTGGTTGAATATAGTGGCTTAGGAACATATTTCCAGTCCTCCGAACTCCTATGCAGCTCTTTTTCAAGCATGGCTATGATGTCTTCCTGAGTGACAAAGGATGGTGTTTTCTCAGGACCTTTGCCAGCAGCAGCAGCTGACTCCTCTTGAGAAGAATTTTTCCTAGGCATGCAATCCTTGTCACTAGCTTTCTCATTTGGCTTTGAGATTGAGTTTTTTAACTCCTTCACAGACGTAGCAATTCCTTTTTGGGCTTCACGGAAGGCATGAATGGCTGCAATAATGTCAAGCATGTCATATTCGTCTAGGTTTTCCTGGCTTTCCTGGCGTTGGCCTTCACATTGAGACTTGCCGAGTCGGGAAATAGCCTCACCTGCGTCTGAGGCGTTGCCACTCCTGGTAGCATGTCTTTTGGATCTTGGAGCCATTGAATCAAGATTGCGACCTATCCCATGCAGAGTCGCCAATTTATGTTGGGGGACTTTTAGGTCGAAGTGGACTTAGGCTTTGAGAACGTTCTTTTGTCTCCCTTGGTATGAATTTGTAACAAGCCCCGGGATCTCTCGAAAGAGTTAGCTTGTCTTAAGAAATACCCCGGTAACATCAATGACTCGAAGATAGCATGACTGATCAAGATAATGACTTGCTTAAGTGAAGCGTGGTGTGGTGATAGGAGCATATTTAGGCGATTTACTTAGCTTGTTTTCATGCATTTATGTTATTAATTCATAGTTGTTTTAGTCTTTTAAAGTATTTTCGTGTGTGTTTTAGGTTCTAATGGCAAATGGAGCAATAAAGTGCATTTTGAGGCTATTTGGAGTATTTTTGGGCATGGATTGGATAGCTTAACCATGAAGCAAAGAGGATGGACGAAATTGAAGACTAGAAGAGTTAGGAAAGGCTACAAATATGGTGGAAGAAGTCCTAATACAATGAAGATAAGGAAGAAGCAAGAAACAAGGAACCTTATCCAACCTTATCTTATCCTATCCTAGAAACCTTATCCTATCCTATCTCTAACATTATCCTATTCTATCCTATCCAAATCAGGTGGGGGCTTAAACCTAGCTAATTAGGGGGAATCAATTACACATTTAAACACCTAATTCAGTTGTAGAACACTTATCCATACCAATGCCGCAAGACACCCCTCCTAGTAGGTTTAGGAATTGAAAACCTTTTCCTACTCTTATATCACATGTCCTAGGCCCTTTAGGTTTAGGAATCTGCCCTAAACCTTCTATTCTAGAAACCTTATCTCATCCCTACATGTGTGCCGCACCTTCCCTTCTAGAATCCCTAAATCCTAGCCGAAACTCCTATTCCCAATCCCACTTGATTTCTGCCTTGAGTTAACCTTTTTCCAATGGGATTAGGCAATCCTTTTCCTTCACTAAGTGTGCCAAACTAGCCTATATAAACTCCTTTGCCGTGCCATTTAATCACCACCACCCTTCACACAACAATCATTCATTCATAAACACAACCATCCTTTGTCGTGACCTTGCAACCACCCATCCATCATTCCCCTACTTCCATACCTCCATCCCAACCTCCAAACACCACCATCTACCCTTGCCGCACCACCATACATACCTAAATCCATCCAAAAACCCAGAAAATCATCCACAAACCCACCATAGACCCTTTGCCGTGACTTAGCAAGGAGGAGGAGAAGGAAGACCAAGCCTTGGGCGTTTGTGCATTCGAGTTGGAGTGTTGGACGTTTCTAGGTGTAATCTATCCTTTATTGTTAATGTTTAAATCTATGTTGCTTTGTTTTGTCATGAACATGAGAGGCTAAACTCGTTTTAGCCTAGGGATGCTTTGAAACCATGATTACATTTATAATATGAGTTGATTGAGTCCAGTTGTGATTTCATAAATTGTGAACGCAATTTACTTAACCGTTTGACGGATAACTTATTCTTGTATGTTTATTAGGGAGGCCTACTTAATTTGCATGCTTGAATTTGGGGCTAGAATATTAGGGTGTTTCACATAATCGTCACAAACTAATATTCACAAGTAGTTAAGGTTGTTTTCACAATCATGTTAAGTAAATTCTTGGCATAAGTTTCATGTAATTCATAGTAACTAGTGCTTCGTCAATGCTTATGGTTTTCAAAGAACTTAATGATTCTTGCTTGTATCTTTATTATGCAATTCATGTAGGGAACTTGTGGGGAATGCTTTGAGTTGTCGTATGCAATCATCCAATTCAATAACGTGAGGAAAATCTGAGGGTTAATTAGTGCAATTCACGGTTAATCTGGGGTGTTGAGGTTCATGGTTTATCGGAAAAGCAACTGGAAATCAATTTATGTTAGAACGTATCATGTGTGGAGAAGTATCCCTTGGCTATCCCATCATCCATTAGTTTTTCTTATTTTCGTCCAAAATCTGTTTTAAAGTTTTAAGTCACTTGTTTTCTTTTAAATTCGTCCAAAATCAAAACCCCCTTTCTTATTTGTTCCAAATCTGTCCAAAAGAGTCTTTTTGAGTCTTTAGAGTCAAAACCAAGTGTATTTTCGTCCAAATTAAGTCATAGAGTCTAAATTGAGTCTTTTTGGTTGTTTTGAGTCTTTAAAGTTTGTTTTGAGTCATATAAGTTAGTAAGAGTCTTGTGAGTCTGTTTAAAGTGTTTTAAAACATATTTTTACATCTTTGAGTCAATTTTCATTAGATTAGCAATCCCTCCTAATCCCCGGCCTAGAACGATCCCTACTTATATCTATACTACAATTGTCAAAAAGAGGGTTTAATTTGAGTGCTATCTTTTATCACATCATGTGGAAGCTATAAGATTATCAGTTTACATGAGAGAGAAAGGATTGCATGGCTGCATGGCATTCTTTGCTAGATGATTTGGGCTTTCCTGAGGTGATAATAAGGCTTTTCATGGTTGAGATGCTTAATGGAAAGCTATGGAAATTACTAAGGTTGCACGGATGATGATGCTTGAGGCATGGAGTATGCTTCTAGGCTAATTGGAACTTTCTGAACTTATTTCCTGGGTGGTTCTTTCTCACTGCGTTTCTCCTTTCTCTCTCTCTATTACTCTACGTGTTCCTCCAATCCCCTCTAATGGCTTTTCTCCCTCCTTTTGTAGATGGAGGGTTCTTCTCTAGGCTTCAATGGAATCTCCCTTTGTAGCTTGGTCTTCCCCTCCTTTCTCCTTAGCCCTCCTATTATTCCTATTTTGGTGTAAGATAGTTGCACTGTTGAGACTTACAATTTGTTTCTTTCTGAGACACGGCTTTCCTAGGGTGGCCTTCCATAGGCACAACTTCTGATAGTGTGCCTCATGGTTTTCGTTCGTTGGTTGTCTGTGTAGGCTAGGAAGGGAAGGTCAGCATTAAATGTCTAACTTACTGGGCTTAACATGCATTTAATACAAGAATCTAGTTTAGCCCTAACTAAGGGAGTTGGCTTGCTAGAGAAATGAGTAAACTAGGCTAATTCTTTCTCAATGATGCCTGCGTGAGATACAAAGGGTATGAGCTTGGATCTTTGGGCGCCTAAGCAACCCAAAGTCTTCCATGACCCCGATTCCACGTAAGCCCGATAACCTTTTGTAACCATCCACTTCACGATCCACTTGACGAACCTTGAATACGTGACTTGGGCTTAAGCATGGATATTGACTAAGGAAGCAGGCATGAGCATGGCGTGAATGTCCGGCTTAATCATCATGGCATGGCACGTTGGTAAATATATTCCTCGTTGATTCCGTGCCTTGGCATGTGTTTGGGCTTGAATGTAGGCTTTGCATGACAATTGGGCCTTGAGACTTGGTCGAATTGGTATGTGACATTTTTGGGCCCCAACATAAGCGAAGAGGAAGACCACCAAAATGTAGTATTGAGTGGCAAAAGCTCTCAACGGTTCCATGAGATTATTTGATGTTTGGAGATTAATTATTGTATGAGCTCTCACTTCTAAGCGAAGAGGAATACCACCAAACCGTAGTACTTAATGACAAAAGCTCTCAACAGTTCCATGAGATTTTTTGATGTTTGGAGATTAATAATGTATGAGCTGAAAGAATGTTCAACATAGGGTTATGGCCATGGTTCAGTTCACATGCGACTCTTTTAAGAGGCAAAAGCTTCTACTCGTGGTCGTTGAGATTTCGGCCACGGTGGTCGGGATGAGGGATATGCACTCTCAACATAGATCCTCCTCCACTTCCATGACTCTGACTGACTCCTACAAGAATTTCCTCAAGTGCATTTACCTCCTTCCAATTCCATCCTTCAGGGAATACCGTGGATGCTCTCTGTCGAACCAAATACTCCTACAAGAATTTCCTCAAGTGCATTTACCTCCTTCCAATTCCATCCTTCAGGGAATACCGTGGATGCTCTGTGTCGAACCAAATACTCCTACAAGAATTTCCTCAAGTACATTTACCTCCTTCCAATTCCATCCTTCAGGGAATACCGTGGATGCTCTCTCTCGAACCAAATCAAGATGGCCGAACTAAAGTATCACTACTATATTGATCTTCCACCCATGAACCTCAACTCGACATTTAGCTACGACCGCCTGATTTGGTGGCTGCTCCTAATTGCAGCAATGATATTTCATTCAACCCGACTAGACGGACGTTATCATATATATTCATCACTGCATAAAAAATGTAACGTTCTACCGATTTACAAGTTTCGGTATAAAAAGAAACAAAAAACAAAACATGATAGATGAAAGAAGGTTAAACTACACTGAAGTTACAAAATTCATGGTCTTAGCAAGCAGCTTCAAAGTCGAATAAAAAGTAAATCACACCAAGGAAACATCCACATGTTAACAAACACAAATCTCTGAACCGGGAAATCATCACTTGAAACCACGGTAGGAAAGAAGTGGGGGCCATAAAACAGGTGAATTGCACACACCACCTCGAAGCTCCAATAACTAGAGGTTTTAAATATCCTACCCCCTGTTTGAAATCAATGTCCCCTCACGATATAAATGCGCACGCCACATTAGTATCTCCTCCTAGGACTCCTTGAGCGACGTTCTCTTAGTGGTCTGCAAAAAATGAAAATGTTAACACAAGATGTTTGAAGAAACACATGCCTGAAAGTTAGTTGTAAAGGTATTGAGCATTATTATAAAGGTCCCTATACGAAAATTTCACAAGCTTTGGAGTAAAGTAAAACCTTGAGTTCTTCCTGGATCCATCAAGGAAGGATCCATTGCTGAAGGCCCAATCAACAGTTAAAACTTGTGTAAGTAATGTCTCTCCATTCATTTTGTCGATCGCAGTTTTTGCCTCTTTAAAACTTTCATATTCAATCAGTGCATATCCCTGATACAAAAAATAATTCACATTTACGTCACTAAAGAACTATTATTTAACTTCTGAATAAGAAACCGGTCAAAACACCGTCCAGAAGCCTTCTAATCATCCATATTGTCTTATGAATTTAATGGCGCATCACCAAAAACAAAAGCAAGAAATAAGTCCATTAGAATGTCAAATAGCATTTTTGCCATCCTATATTATTGCATAAATACAATACTTATTTTTCTAAAATAGGACAACAAAGACTACACTTCATAAGGAACTTTAGACTTGAGCAATATACTGATTTGGTGGTTCAAAAGCTTAATGCGAGATGCAAAAATGTTGTGGCTCAAGAAAGATGACTGCTAAGCATTTTGATACAAAAAATCCATATTATTGCTTTTACTAGAACAATATTATCACAGATGTACATATGCATTTAACATCCTTGCAAGCAGTTTCAGCACTTTAATATTTCCATTCCATAATAGATCATTTTTTTTTATTGGGTCCACTAGGATGTAAGAACTCCCAGTTCAGTTGCTTACCAAAATAACAGAAGGTCCATTCTAAGTAACAGTTTTTATTCAAAATTTAAGTTGGACGGCCATTAGGCCAGCAATGCTTTATGGCACGGAATGTTGAGCGGTGAAGCATCAACACATACATAAAATGAGTGTAGCAAAGATGAGAATGCTTCATTGAATGTGTGGGCACATGAGAAAGGATAAGATTACGAATGAGGATATCCGAGGTAAAGTAGGAGCAGCCGAAATTGAAGGAAAGATCAGAGAAAATCGGTTATGGTGGTTTGGACAAGTGAAACAAAGGCCTATAGATATTCCGGTTAAAAGATGTGATTACAAGACAGAAGTTTAGGGCCAAAGGAATAGAGGAAGACCTAAGACTTTGGAAGAGACTCTTAAGAAAAGACTTGGATTACTTGGATCTAACGGAAGACGTGGCACAGAACTGTGTACAATGGAGTTCTAGGATTCATACAGCCAACCCCACTCAGTGGGATAAGGCTTTATTGTTGTTGTAGGCAAAAACCAACAGCCTCACGCCCTACTTCAACTTTGTACCATCAAAGCACCTGATTAATGTAACAAAAGGTACTGATCTCACAGGGAAATAAGACCACCATTTCAGATTTGGAGCCTTAAGGTTCCAGTTAAAATAAATAAATAAGAAGATTTGCCAGGTAATACAGGGAATACAAAGTTTCCAGTAATCATTATAAGCCTAAAAAGATTATGTAGTCCAGACTTGGGTTAAAATACTGGCCAATATACCAAGTAAAGAGAGTAAGAACAGGATAATCAAGGTTCAGAAGTGATCTAAGTAGGTGAGGTGGTTTCTAGAGTATGTTCTAGGAACCACGTAACAATGATAAAATGAATTGGCCACGAGAGACTCCAAAATGCGGGCTATTGTTACGAAATAGAAAAGGCAACTTTCTGATTTCCTCTTCACCGTTTTCTTATTTGAGAAGAGCATGCACGTTTCTGAATTCCCTTTTTAAGCAGTCAGAATAGGTCAAAAGCCATTTGGCCTTCACTTCTTAGAGTTAAAAAACCATCTTAACATCTGGCCGTCACTTCCTTATGCATTGTCACATCCCGCCTTCCCTCGCAGTGATATTGTCCGCTTTGGCATTCTCGACCGTGGTGGAACCCGGCGCACCGGTCCGACCCCACAACGAGCGACCGCACGGTTTTGTTCTTGTGGACCGCAGTCCACAAAAGGCCTCACTGGGTATCAGAGTACGCAGCTGATATTGTCCGCTTTAACTATCTCCCGCTGTAGTGGAACCCGGCGCACCGGTCCGACCCTACAGGGGAGCTTCGTCTCACGGGTTTGTCTTCCTCTGGACTATGTCACAGCAGGAAAGGCCTCACTGGAAGGTACATGTGGGCATGGACATATAAGGTCCAGGCTCAACCCTCAAGTCGTCGATGTGGGATCTTACAATCCACCCCCCTTAGGGAGCCCGACGTCCTCGTCGGCACACCGCGCGAGCCTGAACCTGGCTCTGATACCAAATTGTCACATCCCGCCTTCCCTCGCAATGATATTGTCCGCTTTGGCATTCTCGACCGTGGTGGAACCCGGCGCACCGGTCCGACCCCACAACGAGCTACTGCTCAATTTTGTTATTGTGGACCGCAGTCCACAAAAGGCCTCACTGAAAGGTACATGTGGGCATGGACATATAAGGCCCAGGCTCAACCCTCAGGTCGTCGATGTGGGATCTTACAATCCACCCCCCTTAGGGAGCCCGACGTCCTCGTCGGCACACCGCGCGAGCCTGAGTCTGGCTATTATACCAAATTGTCACATCCCGCCTTCCCTCGCAGTGATATTGTCCGCTTTGGCATTCTCGACCGTGGTGGAACCCGGCCCACCGGTCCGACCCCACAACGAGCTACCGCACGGTTTTGTTCTTGTGGACCGCAGTCCACAAAAGGCCTCACTGAAAGGTACATGTGGGCATGGACATATAAGGCCCAGGCTCAACCCTCAAGTCGTCGATGTGGGATCTTACAATAATTGTCACATCCCGCCTTCCCTCGTAGTGATATTGTCCGTTTTGGCATTCTCGACCGTGGTTCCCGACGAGGCGGCATAATTCTGACAGAAGACACCAACTATTAGAATACTCACAAAGACACAGGACTGCCAAACCTAGGCTCTGATACCAAACTGTCACATCCCACCTTCCCTCGCAGTGATATTGTCCGCTTTGGCATTCTCGACCGTGGTGGAACCCGGCGCACCGGTCCGACCCCACAACGAGCTACCGCACGGTTTTGTTCTTGTGGACCGCAGTCCACAAAAGGCCTCACTGAAAGGTACATGTGGGCATGGACATATAAGGCTCAGGCTCAACCCTCAAGTCGTCGATGTGGGATCTTACAATCCACCCCCCTTAGGGAGCCCGACGTCCTCGTCGGCACACCGCGCGAGCCTGAGTCTGGCTCTGATACCAAATTGTCACATCCCGCCTTCCCTCGCAGTGATATTGTCCCGGGGCATAGGGAACAGCATCACCCTGATAGTGATAGACACCACCTCTACTTGCTTGACCATAATTACTCGGACCTTGTATCTGTTGAATAGGTACAGGTGGTGGCATAAAGGTCTGCTGCGGCTGACCCTGGGGACAATTCACAGTTCTATGTCCTACCTGCCCACACGTGAAACAACCACCGCTGCTATGCCTGCACTCGCCGAAATGTCGGTTATTACATCTACGGCAAAATGGGACTCGGCTTCGGCCACCATCACCTTGTCTCTGGCCTCGAGCGCCTCCATAAAACCTACCTCCTCGTCCCTGTCCAGAGGTACTGAAACCACCACTAGACGAACTTGAACTAGTACCACCCCTCTTGAAGTTCTGAGTCTGGCGAGGCCCAAGCGACATTTGACTTTTTCCTTTGTCATCTTTCTTTTCATCACTGTCACTCGACATATTCTCTGAGTCCTCAATCCTCAATAGTATCTCGTAAAAATCCTGGTAGGACTCACAGTGAGTAGTAGTCGCCATAGAACGCCATCTCTTCCTAGTGCCTAAGCGGAAACGACGAAGCATCTCCGCCGGATTACCAGCGACGTCAGGATAGTAACGAGACAGATCAGTGAACTTACGATAATACTCGTTAGCCGTCATCTTTCGCTGTTTCAACTCGGTGAATTCCTATTTCTTACGATCAATGTACTCAGGGGGCACAAACCTCCTCTGAAACACATCCTTGAAAACATTCCAATCAGTCCTCTGAGCTGGCGTCAACCTACGAAGCTCCTGCTCCCACCAGGCTGCAGACTCCATCTCCAGAAACCATGAGGTTGTCTCGACCCACCTCTCCATAGGAAGGTTCCCCTGATTGTGCAACACACTCTCTTTCTCTCCCGGGATTCCCTCACTCTCTGTCTCTTCTCTGTCTCTATCTCTCTCTCTCTCTCTCCCCGAGTTCTTCCTCTTCTTTCTTCAACATACGGACAACACACACATATACTCAAACCTTCACAAATCAAGAAACCAATTACACCATTGAACTCGTGAAGTTGTGAGGAGCATGTTCGACATCTTACTTTGGTGTTGAAAAGGTTGAGGGAACACCAATTGTATGCTAAGTTTTAACAAGTACCAGTTCTGGTTAGATCAAGTTGCATTTTTGCGGCACATCATTTCTGCTCAAGGTATTCTGGTTGACCCTCAGAAGGTTGCAGCTGTGGAGAGTTGGGAGCAACCACGAACCGTCACCGAAGTGAGAAGTTTCCTTGGTTTGGCAGGGTATTATCGGAGATTCGTTAAGGATTTTTCGGTGATTGCTTTGCCATTGACGAGGTTAACAAGGAAAGATGTTAAATTCGAGTGGGATGATAAGTGTGAGCAGAGTTTCCAGCAGTTGAAGCATTGTCTCACTCATGCACCTGCTTTGGCACTCCCGGACGATAGTGGTGATTTCGAGGTTTATAGTGATGCTTCCTTGAATGGTCTGGGATGTGTATTGATGCAGCATGGTAGGGTGATTGCTTATGCTTCGCGGCAGTTGAAACCCCATGAGATGAATTACCCTACACATGATTTGGAGTTGGCTGCTATCATCTTTGCGTTGAAGTTGTGGAGACATTATCTTTACGGAGAGAAGTGTAGGATCTTCACAGATCACAAAAGTCTTCAGTATCTCTTTACTCAGAAGGAACTTAATCTTCGTCAACGAAGGCGCAGAGCGATGGTTGGAACACATACAGAATACTTTCCGTGTGTTGCACAATCAGGGGAACCTTCCTATGGAGAGGTGGGTCGAGACAACCTCATGGTTTCTGGAGATGGAGTCTGCAGCCTGGTGGGAGCAGGAGCTTCGTAGGTTGACGCCAGCTCAGAGGACTGATTGGAATGTTTTCAAGGATGTGTTTCAGAGGAGGTTTGTGCCCCCTGAGTACATTGATCGTAAGAAACAGAAATTCACCGAGTTGAAACAGCGAAAGATGACGGCTAACGAGTATTATGGTAAGTTCACTGATCTGTCTCGTTACTATCCTGACGTCGCTGGTAATCCGGCGGAGATGCTTCGTCGTTTCCGCTTAGGCACTAGGAAGAGATGGCATTCTATAGCGACTACTACTCACTGTGAGTCCTACCAGGATTTTTACGAGATACTATTGAGGATTGAGGACTCAGAGAATATGTCGAGTGACAGTGATGAAAAGAAAGATGACAAAGGAAAAAGTCAAATGTCGCTTGGGCCTCGCCAGACTCAGAACTTCAAGAGGGGTGGTACTAGTTCAAGTTCGTCTAGTGGTTGTTTCAGTACCTCTGGACAGGAACGAGGAGGTAGGTTTTATGGAGGCGCTCGAGGCCAGAGACAAGGTGATGGTGGCCGAAGCCGAGTCCCATTTTGCCGTAGATGTAATAACCGACATTTCGGCGAGAGCAGGCATAGCAGCGGTGGTTGTTTCACGTGTGGGCAGGTAGGACATAGAGCTGTGAATTGTCCCCAGGGTCAGCAGCAGAAGCCGCAGCAGACCTTTATGCCACCACCTGTACCTATTCAACAGATACAAGGTCCGAGTAATTATGGTCAAGCAAGTAGAGGTGGTGCCTATCACTATCAGGGTGATGCTGTTCCCTATGCCCCGGGACAATATCACTGCGAGTGAAGGCGGGATGTGACAATTTGGTATCAGAGTCAGACTCAGGCTCGCGCGGTGTGCCGACGAGGACGTCGGGCTCCCTAAGGGGGGTGGATTGTAAGATCCCACATCGACGACTTGAGGGTTGAGCCTGGGCCTTATATGTCCATGCCCACATGTACCTTTCAGTGAGGACTTTTGTGGACTGCGGTCCACAAGAACAAAACCGTGCGGTAACTCGTTGTGGGGTCGGACCGGTGCGCCGGGTTCCACCACGGTTGAGAATGCCAAAGCGGATAATATCACTGCGAGGGAAGGCGGGATGTGACAATTTGGTATCAGAGCCAGACTCAGGCTCGCGCGGTGTGCCGACGAGGACGTCGGGCTCCCTAAGGGGGGTGGATTGTAAGATCCCACATCGACGACTTGAGGGTTGAGCCTGGGCCTTATATGTCCATGCCCACATGTACCTTTCAGTGAGGCCTTTTGTGGACTGCGGTCCACAAGAACAAAATCGTGCGGTAGCTCGTTGTGGGGTCGGACCGGTGCGCCGGGTTCCACCACGGTCGAGAATGCCAAAGCGGACAATATCACTGCGAGGGAAGGTGGGATGTGACAGTTTGGTATCAGAGCCTAGGTTTGGCAGTCCTGTGTCTTTGTGAGTATTCTAATAGTTGGTGTCTTCTGTCAGAATTATGCCGCCTCGTCGGGAACCACGGTCGAGAATGCCAAAGCGGACAATATCACTACGAGGGAAGGCGGGATGTGACAATTATTGTAAGATCCCACATCGACGACTTGAGGGTTGAGCCTGGGCCTTATATGTCCATGCCCACATGTACCTTTCAGTGAGGCCTTTTGTGGACTGCGGTCCACAAGAACAAAACCGTGCGGTAGCTCGTTGTGGGGTCGGACCGGTGGGCCGGGTTCCACTACGGTCGAGAATGCCAAAGCGGACAATATCACTGCGAGGGAAGGCGGGATGTGACAATTTGGTATAATAGCCAGACTCAGGCTCGCGCGGTGTGCCGACGAGGACGTCGGGCTCCCTAAGGGGGGTGGATTGTAAGATCCCACATCGACGACCTGAGGGTTGAGCCTGGGCCTTATATGTCCATGCCTACATGTACCTTTCAGTGAGGCCTTTTGTGGACTGCGGTCCACAATAACAAAATCGAGCAGTAGCTCGTTGTGGGGTCGGACCGGTGCGCCGGGTTCCACCACGGTCGAGAATGCCAAAGCGGACAATATCATTGCGAGGGAAGGCGGGATGTGACAATTTGGTATCAGAGCCAGGTTCAGGCTCGCGCGGTGTGCCGACGAGGACGTCGGGCTCCCTAAGGGGGGTGGATTGTAAGATCCCACATCGACGACTTGAGGGTTGAGCCTGGACCTTATATGTCCATGCCCACATGTACCTTCCAGTGAGGCCTTTCCTGCTGTGACATAGTCCAGAGGAAGACAAACCCGTGAGACGAAGCTCCCCTGTAGGGTCGGACCGGTGCGCCGGGTTCCACTACAGCGGGAGATAGTTAAAGCGGACAATATCAACTGCGTACTCTGATACCCAGTGAGGCCTTTTGTGGACTGCGGTCCACAAGAACAAAACCGTGCGGTAGCTCGTTGTGGGGTCGGACCGGTGCGCTGGGTTCCACCACGGTCGAGAATGCCAAAGCGGACAATATCACTGCGAGGGAAGACGGGATGTGACAATTTGGTATCAGAGCCAGACTCAGGCTCGCACGGTGTGCCGACGAGGACGTCGGGCTCTCTAAGGGGGGTGGATTGTAAGATCCCACATCGACGACTTGAGGGTTGAGCCTGGGCCTTATATGTCCATGCCCACATGTACCTTTCAGTGAGGCCTTTTGTGGACTGCGGTCCACAAGAACAAAACCGTGCGGTAGCTCGTTGTGGGGTCGGACCGGTGCGCCGGGTTCCACCACGGTCGAGAATGCCAGGGAGGAGTATCAGCAGGGTGAGATTGCCACTAGTAGTGCAGGGTCTTCGAGGCAGATGGGTCAGTCCAGTCAGGGGCGTGGAGCTCAAGGTCGCGGTGTTCAAGCGAGCAGAGGTCGCGGCGGACGACAGCAGGGTCAGGGGCGTATTCATAATATTTCCCTGCAGGATGCTCAGAACAACCCGGATCTAATTATGGGTACGTTAAACATTCTTGGTTATTTTGCTAGAGTCTTAATTGATTGTGGAGCTACACATTCCGTTATTTCTCATACATTTGCTCAAGTAACGCAACCTCGCCCCACACCTCTAGGGTACGATTTAGAGTTCGCTATGCCTAGAGGGGAGAGATGTGTTGTAGATTGTATGTACCCAGGATGTCCAGTGATAGTAGAGGGTGTTGTTATGCCCGCTGATCTTATCCCGTTAGATATTGTTGATTTTGATGTGATTTTGGGCACGGATTGGTTGCATTTCTATCGTGCCAACATTGATTGTTACGGGAAAGTAGTTACGTTTCACCGTCCTGGACTACCTGAGGTTACCTTTGTGGGTGAGCAGAGTGGGGTGAGACACGGTGTTATTTCGGCTTTGCGAGCGAAGAAGTTGTTGTCTAAAGGTTGTCAGGGGTATCTAGCTCATGTGGTGTTAGATGAGACCGTTCCTAGCAGAATTGAGGATGTGAGAGTGGTCAGACACTTCCCTGATGTTTTTCCTGAGGATTTACCTGGTTTACCCCCAGATTGAGACGTGGATTTCACTATTGAGTTACTTCCAGGTACTAATCCTATTTCATTAACTCCTTATCGTATGGCTCCCGCTGAGTTAAGGGAATTGAAAGTTCAGTTACAGGAATTAGTGGATAAGGGGTTCATTCAGCCTAGTACTTCGCCTTGGGGCGCTCCAGTGTTGTTTGTGAAAAAGAAAGATGGGACTTTGAGGCTGTGTATCGACTACAGGCAATTGAATCGGGTGACGATTAAAAACCGTTATCCATTGCCTCGTATCGACGATTTGTTTGATCAGCTGAGAGGTGCTTGTGTATTTTCTAAGATAGACTTGAGGTCTGGGTACTATCAGCTGAAGATTAGTAGGGATGATGTTCCTAAGACGGCGTTCAGGACTCGTTACGGTCATTACGAGTTTCTGGTTATGCCATTTGGGTTGACGAATGCACCAGCAGCTTTTATGGATTTAATGAACCGGGTGTTTCAGCCTTACTTGGATAGATTTGTTATTGTCTTCATTGACGATATTCTGGTGTATTCTAAGTCCAATCATTTAATTAAAATGACTGGTAGTCCAACAGATTGTATTTTTTCTAAAATTCAATTCAAAATCTTCATGGTCTTCTGAAAATTCTGGTCACTTCTGCTGATTTTCGATTGATTAATATCCTAGAGTAAAAACATTTCCATCCTTGACTAGAAAATATCGAACAATTTCATCCATAACATTATTTTGTTCTGTTCTGGTATTCTCCATATTCCACAACTGATCAATTAGTTTTTACAACAGTTTTTCCATTTTCCAATAATTTTAAAAAATGCACATCAAAATTTCATGTATTGTAATGGAAGTCCAATCATACCTTCACAAACCCAGTGCGGCGATCAAGATTTAAATGCAAATTTTTTATCTCCCCAAATTCACCAAATGCATCTTGTAGGTGGTCCTCTTGGGCCTCCTCATGTACCCCAGTGACCAGAATAATCCATCCCTCAACGGCTGTAGACATTTTCAAAATGAAAGGAAGAAACTGTCAGGGGATGCAAAGATAAACTATATGTAAGTAGGAAACATAATGTCCTTCCTATATGGCTACAAAAATATACAAAACTTTCTAATTTGAAAGAAAAGGTTCTGTGTAAACTGCACAAGAATATCATTCTTGACTGACCAGAATCAAAACAATCGGGATTTATTCTAAATAATTCAACTATTGAGGCCTGAGCATAACTGAAAGAAGTCTACAAGCAATGGAAGGCAATAATAAGCAAATTAATATAAGTTCCTTCGTAGTTGAGATAAAGAATGAATTCTTGACTTGGTACACATTCAAGCAGCTTCTTTCAGTAGTTGAAATTATGAGCCACCAACCCAAAATATATGATATTAGCCACTAGAGGTCAAATGAAACAGATTAAAATTAAAGCTTAACGTTTAAATTTGAACTAGTAAAAAAATTGCAAAGAGGTAGAAAAGATAATGAACAGAACATGAGGCTATATACACACCTATAAGAAAAATAAAAAATAAAGGAAAACATGACTTCCAAATAACTAGGACCCTGTTATTGGTACAGAATACTGAAGCAGATGCTAGAGCTAGACTGCACATATGGTAGGCTATGCTTAACTAAAGAAGCCTAGCCCCATAGAAGTTCATATTAAGTCTCTAGAAAAGCAGTTCAAGATTGCCGTTAACAGAGAAAATAAAATTTAACCCCTCAGTGCAACCAAAAAGATCCTATGTTGCCAAAAAAGAAGGAAAGAACATGAAGTTTAAAAGTCATAAGCTTTCAAATGAAAACAAAATGGAAAATTGAATGACTTTTCTGCACCTTGGAGAAGGAGCTTCCCATATTCTTTGTATTATTTCTTTTTCATGAAAAACCTCTAGAAGAAAAAAAGATTTAAAATAATCTCACGCTCATCTCGTTCTTGCCAAAACATTGACCTTGCTGCCTGTTGTTGTTGAACACTAAGTAGGGGGTACTATGAGATAAAACCATCTCCAAAATTCATGACCCATTAAAACAGCACTCTCATCCATTGCATAAAAAGCAGTTGAATAATGTGACACATGAAAAAAAGCAACCACGTGTTGTATAGATACATATGTGAATAACTGAAGTATATTCACACAAAATAATCTCTCAAGATATCTAAAGTTCAAACTCAAAAACAGAAATCCAAAGTTCAAACTCAAGAATGGAAATCCAAATTCCACTTTCAAGGGCAGAAATTTCCAAGAACTTAATTATATCTTATCACAAAACACACACACTACCACCCCACCCCCTCCCCCCAAAAAAACAAATAAAAAAAATAAAAAAAATACCCACAGAGATAGACCTATTTTCCCCAATGAATCCGGACAAACAACAGGGAAGAATCCTCAAGAGCAGAAATTTCCAAGAACTTAATCCTTTTGCATTAAATCTAAATTACAAACAAAAGAATCCTACAAATCCAATCAAGAACCTTTTCTATCAGGTAAAACTCCAAGAATCCTCAAACCCTAGCTACCAGTCAATTTAAAAATTGAAACTTTCCCCAAAACATACAATCCAAGCTACCAATCGAATCAGGAACCTATTTCTATCAAATAAAACTCCCAAGAATCCTAAAGTAATAGCTACCAATCAATAGAGGGGAGCGAGAGGGGGAGCGCGAGAGAGAGAGAGCTTACATCGTTGGGGTTCGAGGCCGTCAGAAGAGTTGAGAGAGTCGAAGTCGGAGGCAGCGAGGCGGCTGTTACGGTCGGCATTGAGATCTTCACGGAATCCGCGACCTTTGGTCTTCTTAGGGACGGCGGACGCCGCTCCAACGCCGGTGATAGCGGACTTGAGCTTGGGGAGTGGGGCCCTGGGGGAGGCGGAGGGCTCGGCGTCGACGGCTCCGTCCTCGTCCATGAGGTCGTCATCTTCGGGCTCGAAGTCCACCGTTTCTACGTCTCCGCTCGCCATAGCTGATGCTCTCACAGTCACAGCTCTCGATGGTCCTAGTTTTAGATGAGGAAGGAAAAAGGGCGCAAGGGTTCGGGAATTGGGACGATTGGGATTTATGGGTTTCGGCTTTTGGGCCTTTGGAGGGTCGATAGCCGTCTTGTCCTTTTCTTTTGGATGTGTTACATTTTTTTTACTTCTTACGTGTATCTTGTTAATTTCTATCATTTGATCGTCTTCAATTCATTGGATCCGACAGTTGAAAATTAAAAGAGTGTGTGAGAACCTTTCCTTTTTGGGTTTTTTTCTGTTTTTTTTTTGGGGGGAGGTAAATAACCGGGTGGACTGCCCAAAAAACTAGCTATCTATATCATAAACAATTGAGTTCTAATCCAATCATGCGGATTTTCAAAATAATGGTATCCAATTGGCAATGTCATATGCCTTCATGTTCTTCTCCTAGTAAACATGTACTAACTCGCATTTTGCTATGCATATCATAAGTTGTCTGCACTAATCAATGATATTTGCAAAATGATGAAAGCTCGTATCGGTCATATTATTAATTAAATTAACCACAAGAGCCGAATCCATTTCCACCTATAATCTTGAAATGCTTTGTCAACTCCAAGTTTCAGTCCAAAATATAGCCCTAAAATTTCAGCATCAACCACCTGACCTTTTGCCCAAAGTGACAGAGAACCTACCAAGCAATCACCGTTCTTGTCTCTAAAAACTCTTCTTGCACCTATAATTCCAGTAGCATTGGTCTGAGAACCGTCCGCATTAAGCTTCACCCTCTCTGCAGTAGGTGGATCCCAAGCCAGAGACACACTTGCATCTCAGGAACATTAGAGCATACACACTTATAGGCATCATACCACTCATTTGCAACCTTAAAGATAACACCTTTGGGAGATTGCGGCCTTGCGAAGTTGTCTTCAAAGAGTTGTTTATTCCTCCATTTCCATATATCTCAACAAGTAGAAATAAAAGCATTGCTCCACCGAATTTGTTCAGACCATACTAACTTGGATTTCAAATTAGCCAACAACCAAGCTGTAGCATCAAGATTAAAGGAGAGTCGTACCGGTCTAGGCATTCCCATCAATTCCTAATTACTCCTTGCTCTTGGGCAGTCTCGAAGAATAAAGGACGAGAGAAATTCAGCCAGATTTCTCTTGGCCCTTTACTCATTCGTTAAAAGTTCCTTTGGAAATTAACCACATAAAAATTTTAATTTTTGGTGGGCAAGTCAACTTCCATATAAAATACCACGGAGAATCAGGCCATTCATCGCCTTCAAAAGGAGCTCATAAGGTGTTTTGACACTAAAAAGGCCATTGGCAATTTGTCCCCATATTTGTTTATCCATGCCAACACCCAAAACACCAGCTGGATGACTGGCTATTATTTGCACTAGCTCTTCTGGAAGCTCATTCCTCAATTTGCTCATGTCCCACTATCTATCTTTATGTCATCTGCAACACAAGAGTTCATAGGCAAATCATTAACATTACCAACTTTGTTGATTAACGGCTCTCCACTAAGAACCCATGGATCCACCCAAAACTTTGTGTTTAGTCCATTCCTATCCTCCAAAGCATACCCGTTCTTAGTAATTCAATACCACGCAACACACTCTTCTATGTATAACAAGTGGGGTGCTTAGTTGCTAGAGTGGGGTTAATTTTTAATTATGTGTTATAGGTTATAAATTTCGAGGTTCCCATCTTAACGAAACTTGCCTACACATGTTAATAATTACTATTAAATTCAAAAATATGTAATATCACAAATAAAAATATAAAATAAGACATTGTTATCTACACTCCAAAGTTCTCATTTTATACTCCAACACATTTTGCTCTCCAACCTTTCTACATTAAAAAAAAATACACTTGTGAGGATTGCAAACTGAGATTTTTGGATTGCCAATGACAGTTCCCATTAAATAAATTAAAATATTTTTCAAGAGTTGTTTGTAACAATGTTTTATATTTTTAAATTTAGGCTAAAAATCTCGTCAATATGGACAATTTCTTGTGAAGCCACAATGTTTCAAGCTTCTCAAGCATGTTTACACCTTCTTGGCATACTTTTGATATTAGAGACTAGTTGTGCCTTTTTCCATTGTTGCATCCTGAAAATTGGCATGCTACATTACTAATATAGTTCTTTGTATCCATACAACTCTCATTAAAGATAACCAAGTAAAAAAAATTATATTCTTTTGGACTGACTACAATACTTACATGCAATTGTTTTTTTAAGGATATTTACACGTATTTAATACAATCACCATCTGCCAGTCAAATATAATTCGTGGTGATTGTATTAATACATGTAAGTATGGTAGCCAAATCCTATTTTTTAAACTATACTTATTAAGTAATAACCTCTTTATAGTAATAAAATGGTTATGTCCTAACATTATGACAGTATAGAGGTTTTACTATAGTACCTTTGAGAGTTTTTCCACTATTGGGAGCCTACTTTCACACAAATTTTTTAGCCTCTCAAGTATCTCTCTTTTAGATTAAACAATGATGCGTAGGAGAAGAAAAATGATAGGTGTTTATCATTTCTCTTTTCATATTTCTTTTCCACAAAAGTCACGTCCATGATTGATCACATTGTATTTGGTCCAAGATCAATATAACTATTTTTTGGAAGGAAAAAAGATTAAAAGCTTTTTGTGACATCTAAGCCATCACCAAATGAGATGTTGAAACTGTTACATAAATATATAACAGTAACAAATGACGTACCATTTACTCCAACTGAGATGTCAAAGCTGACATGAAAGAGAAGGCCAAGTTAACATGGATAAATAGATGTTAAATTTGAAGCTGCCTTCAAATATGATTTTTGCTATTTCCAAAGGCATTCTACTTGTCTTATACCTTAAATGCTAGCATATTTAAGTATTATTTTATTTCTACTAATTAATAAAATACTCATTGTCAACCAAAATCCTATCAAATTATCAGTTTCATCCTCTAATTAAGACAGAACATGAATAAGAAATATGGGGCAGAAATATAATTTCATACAACCAAATTTTGCTTCTTTTTTTTTTCTTTCAAAGTCTCACAAACATATAATCCTAACATATCTCTAATTTAAAAAATAAAAAATAAAAAAAAATAAAATCTCTCACACACTTTGTGTGTGCCCATATGCTAGTTATTTTTAAACCAACAACAACCCAATTTTTATTATTTTTGTTTTAATAAAAAACATAAATGAAACAATAAATTTGGCATATCGAATATGAGGAAAATATTGACAATATGTCAAATTGTCAAGTCAGCCATCAAATAGAAATTTGACGTTTTGAATTTGACATCTTCTTTGGAGATGCTCTAAATTTTGTAATTAAATTATATGAAAGTTGATGATTAGATTATTACTTAAATTTTAATTAACGTGATTATTTCTTATCGGTGACACATTATTTAGTTTGCAAATTTGGTCTACAAATTTAATCTGCTTGGTGTTACCCGTAGTCATCGACACCACTTGCCGCTCCAACGACACTGTCAACCGCCATCTTATCAGCCTCTTCGACTTTAAAGCCCCGCATTCAAACAAACCCGACAACTCTATCAAAACCTCCGACGTAATGGTGGACCCTTCCCCTAACCTCTGGTTCTGCCCCTACATCCCTACCACCACCGACGTTGCCGCCAAACTACCACTCATTATCTAGTGGATTCGTGTTCTTTTCTGCCAACTCACAACCCTACAATAACCTCTGCAAATGCCTCGCCACCGAACTCCTCGCAGTAGTCACCTCAGTCAACTACTGCCATGCGCCAGAGCATCGGTATCCCTCCCAGTACGAAGACGGCTTCAACGTCCTCAAATTCATTGACACAACAAGAATTGAAGGCCTTGATCTTAACAAGGTTGACATCACCCAGTGTTTCCTCCCCAGAGACAGCGTTGGCGACAACCTGGCCCACCACGTGGCAATCAAAGCGAGTAACCATGGGTTTTGCTTTTGCCAGATGAGGGTGATTGGACTAATAGCTACAACCATTTTTTGGCGGGAAAGAAAGGACCAACCATAAATTCAAATCTCGTGAATGGTTTTTGTTTATGCCACTTAGTACTACGATCTAATGGTATTCTTCTATACTAGTAAGTGACAGACCATAAATTCAAATCTCGTGAATGGAGAGTCTGAAATTAATTTATTCCTACACCCCCTAGTGTCAATTTACGCCTTAGACTATTTTTCTTGCTACTTTATCCCTAAAATGAGCATGAAATATCCAAGTTACTCTCCTAACGTTATATCTAGTAGGAAAAACTATTTGTGCGACCAAATTTTGCACGACAAAGCAAAATCCATCGCGCAATGATGTTTTGCGCAACGACAAGAGATCCATCGTTGCGCAAGAGTGTTTACACAACAAGAAAAATGTGTTCGTCGCGCAAACCCAGTAAGAAAACCTCGGGTGTTTTTTTTTTGGGTGCAAAATAAATGTGCGACAAAGTCTTTGTCGCGCAAAGATTCTTCAGTTTTTTGGGGCAGAGCATTCGACGCATGGGAAATAGAGGAACACTTGTGCGATGAAGGCTTAGTCGCACAAGTTGTTGTCAGTTTTGATCTAGACAAGTTAGTGCATGTGAATAAGAGGAATTTAGACTGTATTTAGTGCGGGTCTTTGCGCGACAAAGCCTTTGTCGTGCAAAGGCCCTAGCCTTCCTATAAATATGTGCTTTTGCTTTCCTTATTCTTCACAATTCTGTTCGTGTTGGGATGGAGGATAAAAACAAGGATCAAAGCATGCTCACCGCCGACCCAAATGATTTGAGGCAGCATTTTGAGTTCGCATATGCGATTGTTGTAGCCATGGGGAATAATTGTCCTACTGCTGAGTGGCATTCTTGGAAAGATATGCTCGAGAATGCGAAGAAGGCGGTGATGGATGAATTATTAGTAAGTACATTGTTGATGGATAAATAATTACTTTTGTGAAATTTGTTGTTATATGTTAGAATTAATTATTTGCATATAAGTGTAACAGTGTAAGTATACTCTTGATGATGATACAAACGAACGGTTGATGAAGTTGATGGAGGATGCGTTAAAGGGAGGTTACCATTGGTG